CAATGGGGGAAGGAGTAAACAAGAAGTGGAGGAATGGTGCCAATAGGTCTAGTGTACTTTTAATATTTAGGAAGAGCTGCCATCAGAGCCATACAAGTCCCTAAACGTTTTATGCAGAATTCTGTGTGTTTGTGACTAGCTGTGTTCTCCATAAAGAGAAGCCCAAGCTTTCATCACATATTTCAAGGAGTATGTCACTGAAAATCCTATGTGGAAGGTTTTAGTGGCTGGCCCAGAGCTGCCAACACCCTGAGACTAAGCAGGAAGAATGGATCTCTAGGTGCTAGTTCCTTGTTGGGGCCAAGGACACAGGGCTTCCGGCCCTTTGATTTTTTTTTTTTTTTTTTTAAGAACGGAAAGAGAAAGAAAATTAGTAGTTTGTTTTCCATAAGTAAAGCCCCTTTAAAACTTAACCTTACAGAACCTAGTCTGAGTTTTAAAGGATTTTCTAGGCTAAAAGAGCACCTCTGTGCGACCTCTGGTGGATGTTATAAAAATGCAGCCCAAGCATTTCCATTTTATACAAAGGATAGTTGAAAGGATTGCTTAGAAAAATGGATTTTTATAATCACTTAGATTGTCTCACAATCAAACGTATCCAGTAAGAATACATCATATAATAGTATATAGATTATAAATTCATAAGTGTATAAATGAAAGCAACCCCAGAACAGAATAATATAAGACTTAAAAATTATTTTAGCCACTAGGGAAATAATACATATGGGTGGGGTTTGGAGAAACAATTCAGTGGGTCATTCTGCATCTGCTCATAGAGTTCAAAATAAACTTCATAGATTCCTTCCAGACACAGTATGAACAGAATTGGCCATTTTTTCAGTCTCTCCTTTTGGAAGAATGGGCAATACAGAAGGCCTAACATGTATTTGCATGGCTGGTTTTGCAATGGAGTGTGGGCATATAGGTCATAGAGTTGGAAAAAATGCACCTCTGTGCATGCAGCATCTTTTTTAGGAATCCCTAGAGAATCTGGGTCCTAGCTGCTGGGAATTCAACAGTCCTCCTGAGAAAGTGTCAAGTTCTCGGAATGCAGGAGTCACATGTTACAGTTCTTTTCTTTCTTCAGGAATGCTGGTGCCCAAGAGCTTTCCAATAAAAACCTGATGATTTGAAAAGCATGTGTGCCTTGTAATCATTAAGAAGGAATTGTGAAAACAAGGGGCTCTAGTAGTTGCAAAATAACATCTGTGAGGAGGGTGCCTGAGTGGCTCAGTTGGTTAAGCATCCAACTTTTCACTTCAGCTTGGGTGTTGGTCTCAGGGTTGTGAGGTCAAGCCTGAAGCTGAGCTCCACAGTGGGTGTGGAACCTACTCTTAAAAAAAAAATCTCAGGAGGGGAGGGGCAAGATGGCGGAAGAGCAGGGTCCCCAAATCACCTGTCCCCACCAAATTACCTAGATAACCTTCAAACCATCCTGAAAATTTACGAATTCGGCCTGAGATGTAAAGAGAGACCAGCTGGAATGCTACAGTGAGAAAAGTTCGCGCTTCTATCAAGGTAGGAAGACGGGGAAAAAGAAATAAAGAAACAAAAGGCCTCCAAGGGGGAGGGGCCCTGCGAGGAGCCGGGCTGAGGCCGGGGCGAGTGTCCCCAGGACAGGAGAGCCCCGTCCCGGAGGAGCAGGAGCTGCACCAACCTTCCCGGGCGGGCGGAAAGGGGCTCGCAGGGAGTTGGAGCAGGACCCAGGAGGGCGGGGATGCCCTCGGGCTCCCGGGGACACTAACAGACACCTGCGAGCGCAGGAGAGTGCTCCGAGCTCCCTAAGGGCTGCAGCGCGCACGGCGGGGACCGACCGGAGCAACTCGGAGGGGCTCGGGAGCGGCTCCAGGGAGGGAGCTGCGGGGCGGGAGCGCGAATCCCACAGCGCAGGCCCCGGAGCACAGGGCGCCGGGACACAGCCCAGGATCCGGCCTCCCCCGGGACAGGCAGAGGCCGGGAGGGCCCAGGACAGCAAGGACGCTCCTGCCCCGAGCTGAGCAGATCAGCGGCCCCGCCCCGGAGCCTCCAGGCCCTGCGGACGGAGAGCCGAGAGCCCCGAGCCCCGTAGTTCCTGCGGAGGCTGAATCCAGGCTTCCAGAGTTGCCATAGCAACTGCGACTGTTCCTCCTGGGGCCCCACGGGGTAAACAACCCCCGCTGAGCCCTGCAGCAGGCAGGGGCAGAGCAGCTCCCCCAAGTGCTAACACCTGAAAATCAGCGCAACAGGCCCCTCCCCCAGAAGACCAGCTAGAGGGACCAGTGATACTCCCCCGTGTTCCAATACAACTTGTTTTTGGCCACTCTGCACTGAGCAAAATGACTAGAAGGAAAACCTCACTTCAAAAGAAAGAATCAGAAACAGCCCTCTCTCCCACAGAGTTACAAAATCTGGATTACACTTCAATGTCAGAAAGCCAATTCAGAAGCACTATTCTACAGCTACTGGTGGCTCTAGAAAAAAGCATTAAGGCCTCACGAGACTTCATGACTGCAGAATTTAGATCCAATCAGGCAGAAATTAAAAATCAATTGAATGAGATGCAATCCAAACTAGAAGTCCTAACGACGAGGGTTAACGAGGTGGAAGAACGAGTGAGTGACATAGAAGACAAGTTAATGGCAAAGAGGGAAACTGAGGAAAAAAGAGATAAACAATTAAAGAACCATGAAGACAGATTAAGGCAAATAAATGACACTCTAAGGAAGAAAAACCTACGTTTAATTGGGGTTCCCGAGGGCGCCGAAAGGGACAGAGGGCCAGAATATGTATTTGAACAAATCCTAGCTGAAAACTTTCCCAATCTGGGAAGGGAAACAGGCATTCAGATCCAGGAAATAGAGAGATCCCCCCCTAAAATCAATAAAAACCGTTCAACACCTCGACATCTAATAGTGAAGCTTGCAAATTCCAAAGATAAAGAGAAGATCCTTAAAGCAGCAAGAGACAAGAAGTCCCTGACTTTCATGGGGAGGAATATTAGGGTAACAGCAGACCTCTCCACAGAGACCTGGCAGGCCAGAAAGGGCTGGCAGGATATATTCAGGGTCCTAAATGAGAAGAACATGCAACCAAGAATACTTTATCCAGCAAGGCTCTCATTCAAAATGGAAGGAGAGATAAAGAGCTTCCAAGACAGGCAGGAACTGAAAGAATATGTGACCTCCAAACCAGCTCTGCAAGAAATTTTAAGGGGGACTCTTAAAACTCCCCTTTAAGAAGAAGTTCAAGTAACTCTGAACGTGAATGGGTTTAATGACCCCATCAAAAGGCGCAGAGTTTCAGACTGGATAAAAAAACAGGACCCATCTATTTGCCGTCTACAAGAGACTCATTTTAGACAGAAGGACACCTACAACCTGAAAATAAAAGGTTGGAGAACCATTTACCATTCAAATGGTTCTCAAAATATACCCTAAAAACTACAGAACACTTCTGAAAGAAATTGAGGAAGACACAAAGAGATGGAAAAATATTCCATGCTCATGGATTGGCAGAATTAATATTGTGAAAATGTCAATGTTACCCAGGGCAATTTACACGTATAATGCAATCCCTATCAAAATACCATGGACTTTCTTCAGAGACTTAGAACAAATTATTTTAAGATTTGTGTGGAATCAGAAAAGACCCCAAACAGCCAGGGGAATTTTAAAAAAAGAAAACCATATCTGGGGGCATCACAATGCCAGATTTCAGGTTGTACTACAAAGCTGTGTTCATCAAGACAGTGTGGTACTGGCACAAAAACAGACATATAGATCAATGGAGCAGAACAGAGAACCCAGAAGTGGACCCTGAACTTTATGCTCAACTAATATACGATAAAGGAGGAAAGACGATCCACTAGAAGAAAGACAGTCTCTTCAATAAATGGTGCTGGGAAAATTGGACATCCACATGCAGAAGAATGAAACTGGACCACTCTCTTGCACCATACACAAAGATAAACTCAAAATAGATGAAAGATCTAAATGTGAGACAAGATTCCATCAAAATCCCAGAGAAGAACTCAGGCAACACCCTTTTTGAACTTGGCCACAGTAACCGGAGAAGGACAAACAGTGTATGTTCTCATTCATTTGGGGAATATGAATAATAGCGAAAGGGAATATAAGGGAAGGGAGAAGAAATGTGTGAGAAATATCAGAAAGGGAGACAGAACATAAAGACTTCTAACTCTGGGAAATGAACTAGGGGTGGTGGAGGGGGAGGAGGGTGGGGGGTGGGGGTGAATGGGTGACGGGCACTGAGGGGTACACTTGACGGGATGAGCACTGGGTGTTATTCTGTATGTTGGTAAATCGAACACCAATAAAAATTAATTTATAAAAAAAAAATCTCAGGAATTCTAGACTTCTAGAGTAATCTTACCTCAAATGAACATCAATGCCTAGGCCATATAACCCATAAACTATGTGTATATGCAATAAAATCCTTGGATGACTTGATCTATGTAAATGACTTTGTCTTCTGGGTCAGTGATTTTCAAATTGGGTCCCGAGACCATCAGCCTGAATATCAACTGGGAACTTGGTAGAAATGCAAATTGTCAACCCCTCACTCAAGAACTCCTGAGCCAGTTACTCTGGGGATGGGTCCCAGCTATCTGCTTTTAACAGGTTCTGAGGGAATTCTAATGAAATCTAAACTTTGGGAACCACTGCTATTATTCACCCCTATATTGATAAAGATTGAAGAAGTTATTGTGCTTTTCTGGACAAAATTCTACTTCTCACTAAATACAAATAACTCCACTAAAAATGTGGGATAGCAATGTAGATACTGATACCTGGCTTGTTTTTTTTTTTTTTTTTTTTTTTATAAATATAAGCTTATTTGGACACAGGCAAAATAATCATAAAATCAGTTCAAGAATTTCCCAAGGGTCCATTTTTCTTTTGATAGTTACGGTTTTGTAATAAATAAATTAATCACACTACCATCAAATAGGTAATTTCATATTCATTTCAGACATATACTTCATTTGTCACTGAGATTACCTGCAGGTGGATTTTTAATGTGGCACTCATCTCTTTTAATATAAAGTTCTTCTTCTAGTACTTCCTTAATTCTCTTATGTGGCTCAGAATACAAGAATTTCTTCCCTATAAAGACATTAATAAAATTGGTTACTTATGACAAATTATGCTGAATTTTCTAGCCATTATACCTACATGAGTAACTATTTCTTAAAAAGACACATCCTTATGTACAAACAGCAGATGATCCACCCTGCGACTCTATTTTGGAAAAACCCCTTCCACTGTAATTTTTGGTTCTTTTGAGACTTTACACTTTCACATAATTCCTGAACTTCATGATAAATTCTAAATACCTCTTTTAGGTATTATGAAGAAATATTTAGAGTTTCCTTAATTAGTTTCAAGGAAACTCATTTATTCAATAAATCCTCATTAAAGAATCTACTTACCTTGGACCAGGCATTTGGCTAGGGGCAGAAGTCAAGCAATGAACAAGACAGATGTGCACACAAGGCCTACAATCCAGCTACATAACACAGAACAACCTCAGCGTTATTTAATCACCATTTTGAGAGATAAACCTGAATTGCAGTAGTGAATCACTTATAGACAATGACTTTTTCCTAGTCTCTAAACCTGGCCCTATAGGACATCACTGCTTTGTGAAGGATTGGTTTATTTGTTCTAAGTACCTTAACAATATTTCTTCTGCTCAGTCTCCGTCTCCAAGCTCTGTGCCATGTGACACTATTCCTAGCCTCTCCTGTCAGGCCCCCTCTCTTGCTCTCTGGGCTCCATGGTGGCCCTTCTGTCAATTTCCCACATCACAGCCTATGTACGTTCAATTTTCTGCCTGAACTGCCTTTCCCCTAATATTTTTCCCCAGGTAACTTCTATTCATAATTTAAGTCTAGGCTTACATGTCAGTTCTCTGAGGAAACTTTCCCTGACTCTACAATCTTGCAATGTTCCTTGTTACTTTTTCTTATAGTACTCTCCTCTCTTCTCTCATTTCATTTATTGCAATTTGTATATGGCTTCATTTGGTTTATATGACATCATTTGTGTAACTATTAGTTGAATATATGTCTTCCTTTCTTCCTTACCAGACTGTAAATACCATAGGGCAGGGATGTTGTCTGTTCCGTTCATCAGAGTCCTAGAAGAGAATCTGGCATAGTAATAGACCAAATGTGTGTTCAAGAAGAACTCCCTGTTGTTAAAGTAGACTATTCTTTTTGATGAATGCCAGTGCAGCCTTGTGAATGTCAGGGAATGAGTAGTGATAGTCTTAATACTCAAAATCTCAAGGCAAGAAACCATGGGAAACCTAATCAACCAAATACTTTAGCTATTTCAGATAGGACTTTAAACTCACAATGGCAGGTACCTCATCTTTTCCAGACTAACCAATAAAGAATCACAAGTGAATATATTTGACTCATGTACAGACTGGTCCAAATGGGATAAAAGAGCTGCTGCCTCTGGCTATGGCCATGGGTCATTCCTAGTCATGAAGACTCACACACCCGCAGACACAAACAAGGTAGAATAGATATACTTTATGCATTTAATTTTTTCCTGCAAAAGTTAGGAGTCATTTAAATGTGGATGGAGGTTAGCATTACTCAAGCTTAACTTTGGTTTAAATTTTTTTTGGTGGGCAGCCCAGGTGGCTCAGTAGTTTAGCGCCACCTTCAGCCCGGGGTATAATCCTGGAGGCCCGGGATGGAGTCCCACATCAGGCTCCCTGCATGGAGCCTGCTTCTCCCTCTGCCTGTGTCTCTGCCTCTCTCTCTCTCTCTCTCTCTCTCTCTGTCATGAATAAATAAATACAATCTTTTTTAAAAATAAAGATAAACTTTTTTTTAGCTAAATCATGATCTTAAGGCAGAAAAGGGTTCAGGAAACATGGCTAAGAAGGAAGAAAATCCTGTAATAGATGAATAGACCAGAAGAGATCACCTGCTCTAAGTTCAGGTCCCTTGATGAATTTCAGCCCTGCTGCTACAAGAATTTACAGAGGAAATCACTAAAGGTTTTGAGGAAATATGAGAAATTGGAGTAGTAAAGAGCTTAGAATAGGCAAATACTCTTCCTAGAGGGAGGGAGGGAGGGAAGGAAGGAAGGAAGGAAGGAAGGAAGGAAGGAAGAAAGAAAGAAAGAAATTCTACAAACTCTAACATAGCAGCTTGATGTTAATCCTCACCAACATTTTGAGTCAACAGATGGCTTGTGAGTACAGACGACGAGGAGCGGTGATCACTAAGTGTTAAGGACTACTAAGGACAATATTACTCTAAACTAAACTGCTTTCTTTTGTTAAGAGATAATAATAATTGTTATAATTTATTGAATGCTACCATGCATATATAATTAGCATCTTACATATATTATTTCTCTGTCGCAAAATCACTCTATGAGCAGGTATAATTATTTCTATCATATAGTTAAGAAAGTAACTCTCAGGAAACACAAAACTAGTCATAAAAATTAAAAGCCATGCCTACCTGACTCCCCCAAACCCAAGTTATACTAAACTAGCTATATTAGGAAGATGTCGTAGCCACAATGTACCTGCATTTCAGCAAGGCATTTGATAAAGTGTATTTGTAGGAGACAGAATGCCCTCACCAAAGATGCTGATTGACAGGTCAGGGACTTCTAGAGACTCTCCTTGGAACTCTTGCAACTACCACATAATTTGCTAATTTGGATATAGGGAGGGACTACCAGTAAACTCACCAAATGTGAGGATGGCACAAACTTGCTGAATGGCAAACTCAGGATGCAAAGGCCTGCTTCTGGAAGGAAGTGCTAAAGTTCATAGAATGGTATTGACGGGGATAAATATAATGACTTGAATTTAAGATTAAACAAATTAACCGCATAAATAAAAGATAGAAAAAGCCTGGATTGGGCAGCCCGGGTGACTCCGTGATTTAGCGCCACCTTTGGCCTGGGGCCTGATCCTGGAGACCGGGGATTGAGTCCCGCATCGGGCTTCCTGCATGGAGTCTGCTTCTCCCTCTGCTGCTCTTGCTTTCTCTCTCTCTGTTTCTCATGAATAAATAAAAACAAAATCTTAAAAAAAAAAAAAAAGAAAAGAAAAAGCCTGGATCAAATGTTTTCAATTGGACAGCAGAGGAAAGAGAAACTAAGGGTGTCACAGACTGCATTTGTTATATGTGTTATTAATATAATGTACCTGCTAAAACAGCTAATTGATACTGAGTCCATTTAATAGAAGTAGAATGTTCAGATTGAGGGAGGTTATAGTCCTCCCACACTATCCTACCCTGATCATGCCTAGAATACTGAATTCAGCCACATAATAAACTGGAGAATGTTGGAAAGGGCTAGCCAGCCTGGTGAGAGTGCTACAAAGTATTTTAAAGATGATCCTAAAGTCTATGAAAGATTTGGTGGCTATTCAAAGAGCCACCTCCATACAATTTAAGAATGTTTTACTGGGAAAGGACCACATTCCACCTATGTGTATTTCAGACCAGATCTGTGATTAAGGAATAGAAGCCACAGAGAGACTGAAGACTTTTTGAAAAAAAAATTTTGGGGATCCCTGGGTGGCGCAGCAGTTTACTTAAATATGCCGAATACTTCAATATCCTGGATTTAGTTTCTCTAAGTAAGGCCTCTGCATACTTGATAACGATGAACGGAATGAGGTACCGTAGTCCTACTGGGGCTGATGCTGAGGGAAGAGGCCCTTTCTCTAGGAGACACTGGTTCTGCGGCTCCTTAAGGACGTGTCCGTGGAGCAGGCCGTGTGGCCCCCTGAGGCAGGGGAGCTGAGCCGCTTCAGCCCCACCCCCGCCCTCCCTCCTGGGGTCCGCGGAGACAGAGGGAGCCACTCCAGCGCCAGGCTGCTCTCTAGGGAGGCAATCAAGGAGGCGAGGCAGGAGGGCTAGAAACTGCGGGCGGTTCCTCTCTGGCCTATTATTTTCCCCGTCATCATTCCTTAGCACCTACTGTAAACCTGCAGAGCACAAGGGCTGTGAAATAGAAGTCCATGGAATGGGTGGCCCGGGGGCTCGGCGGTTGGGCGTCTGTCTCGGCCCAGGCCGTGATCCCGGGGTCCTGGGATCCAGGCCTGCGTGGGGCTCCCTGCGGGGAGCCTGCTTCTGCGTCTCTGTGTCTCTCACAAACACAAGCACACGCCCAGGCGTCCGTACACACCTTCCAGGCAGCGCCACGGCCCATCGGGTTGGAGGCTACCTTCCGTGACCCGCCCAGGCTTCCTGCCGCCCAGCCGGCCCGAGCCTGCCTCGGCCCCTCCCTCCAACCGCGGCCCCCGCGGCCCCGCGCCCGCCGCGCTCACCCTGGCCGCAGGACTGCTGGGGGCCGCCGCCCGGCTGCCCCGGCTGTCCCCCGTCGCGGCCCGCCTCCCGCGCCGCCCCCGCGGGCACCACCGCGGCCTCCTGCCGCCTCATGCCGCGCGGTCCGCTGCGCAGCCCGCGGCCTCCTCCCGGCCGTCTGCCGGGGAACGCCCGGCGTCCCGGTTGCCATAGCGACTGCGCGCCCGGCTTCCGCCCGCGCTCTCCCGGGCACCTCCCAGGCCGCAGGTGTCCGCGCGCCCCGAGAAGAGACGACCGCAGGGGCAGGGAGGGACGCGGGCAGGTACTGGACAGGCGAGCGCCCTGGGTCCACACAGCCTCGCGCTCCTCGCCGTCCCACTCCCTGCTACACACACGTGAGCACAGAAACGAGTGTGGAAGATTCCGAACTTTTGGGTTACGTTTTTAAACGACTCTTGTTTCCAAGCACCTTTGTGTCCACGATCTATTTCAAGCTGTATGTGATACCTAATTTTCAGATGAGAAAATCAAATTCGGGAAAGTTTGAGTAGCAAGGGGAAAAATCCAGAGCTCTGTTTTGGAGCACGAGGTTGCTCGTGTTTTGTTTTTGCAGTCATTAAGAAGTAAATTATGGCATAGTGTTGATTTTATAAACGTTGGGGCGCCTGGGTAGTTCAGTGGCTGAGTGTCTGCCTGCCTTTGGCTGAGGTCGTCATCCTGGGGTTCTGGGATCGAGTCCCGCACTGGGGAGCCTGCTTCTCCCTCTGCCTGTGTCTCTGCCTTTCCATGTCTTTCGTGAACAAATAAATAACATCTTTAAAATTTTTTTCTGAAGGTTAAATGTGCATTATTTTACAGAGTCAAATAGTTCTACCGACTTGTAATCAAATACAGGGGACCCCATATGCCTCCATTTCATCCCAGAAACAACCATTTTCACCCCTCTTGGCTGACAGATTAGTATTTACAACCCATGACCAAATGTTTCTTTTGATGCTTTTATGTTTTTCAGTTTTAGGCATCATATATCTATTTCCTACTTTGAAAGATAAAGATTTAGCTCTCCTTCATTATCCTCACTCACATGTATTTACTGCCCTCTCAAACTCCTAATATAGGTAAATTGAAATTCTAGCTAGAACATTTATATTCCTCCCACTATGTTAACTCTAGTCACAGCTGAGCTTTGTAATATCTTATGGTCGCTTCTCCTTTCTGCTTAACCTTTTAACTTCCTGGAGTTAATAACTGCCTTGGTTTTTAATTGTTTACAGCTATTGTCAGGATTTCCCTTTGCCCCTATGACTCTCCCTTGCCATGGATTCCTAGTTTTGAGTATCCCATCTTTACTGTTTCTTGGTATACTCACTAAATGGGTGAAGTCTAGCCCCAGTAGCTTTTTGAGAAATGGTATATGGGAGGTAAAATGTCCAAGTCCTTATAAGTTTTAAAGTATCTTTGTTTTACTCTCTACTAAATTGGAAGTTTGGCTGGGCAAAGAACTTTAGATTGGAAATTATTTTTCTTCAGAATTTTAAGGTCATTGCATCATTGTCTTTGTGCATCCAGTGTTGTCATAGAGAATTCTGCTGCCGTTCTAGTCCTTGCCCCTGGTTTAGGCCCTGGGTTCGTTCTTTCTTTCTTTCTTTCTTTCTTTCTTTCTTTCTTTCTTTCTAGAAATGTGGAGAATCTTCTCTTCGTCCTCGTTATTCTCAAATTTCATGAGGATACATCTTGATATGGATACATTTTTTTTAATCCATTTTGCAGGGCGCTCAATAGGTCATTTCAATTTAGAAATCCATGCCCTTCGTTTTAGAGTACTTTTCTTGAATTATTTTATTGCCATATCTTAGTTTTCCCTGCTCTTCCTGAAACTCCTGTTATTTTTATGTTAGAGTTCCTGATTTGTCCTCTAATATTCTAACCTGTTTTTCCTATCTTATATGTCTATTTTTACACTATTTTCTAGAATTCTTCGATATTTTCTGAATTCCATTTTTCACTTCTGCTGTCATGTTTTTAATTTCTCAGAGCTCTCCAAATATTCCTTTTTATAAAACATCTTGGCCTTCTATCATGAGTACAATGTCTTATGTATCTGAGAATATTAATAATATACTTCATTTTCAATGTTTTTTTCTTCTTGTATAATTGCTGCTTCCTCCAAGTTACCTAGTCCTGTCTATTATGGTCTCAGTAGCTTTCCTCAATCTTCAGGTGGTCCTTGACTTTCTTGCCTTATCTGGTAATGGAAAATAGAAATCTGTGCATATGGTAGGGGTTATTAACTGGGTGTTTCACTGATGGATGGTGTGCCTCAACTGTTCAGTTATGGAACCCCTGATGTCAGTGTATAAGTTCTTATCTCTTGACCCGCTCTGATTCTCCATGGAGTAAATCCTCTAGTCTCCCTGCTGGAGGGTGTGTCCTGGAAAATGAGTGGGAGAAGACAACTGAAGTATGTAAATATTCATGAAATTCCCCTGTCCAGAATGGTGGTCCTGCCCTCAGTTGTGATTTGTACCTTCCAGTCTAGAGGGCCTCTCTTTGGCTTCCTCCAGAGAATTACCTCCAGTCATCCACTGGGGTGGGAGTCATCCACTTAGCTACTCAGAATGGGGAAATGGAGGGTCTAACCTCTATTTTTTAATGTGGTAAAGTACCCGTAAAATTTAACCATTTTAAAGCATATAATTCAGTGGCATCAAGTATATTCATAATGTCATACAGACATTTCTAGAACTTTTTCATTTTCCCAAATAGAACTTTTGTAACCGTTAAACAAGAATTCCCAATTTCCCCCTCTCCTAACCCCTGGTAACTTCATTCTAGTTTCTATCTCTATGAATTTGACTACTTTAGGTACATACAAGTGTAATCACATACTTTTCTTTTGTTTCTGGTTTATGTCCCTTAGCATAATTTTAAAAAAAAATCATTTCTTTGAGAGAGAGGGAGAGAGTGCATGCACATACAAGTCAGCAGGGAGGGGCAGACAGAGAGAATCTTTCAAGCAGACTCCTCATGGGATGTGGAACTGGACACAGAGCTGGAACCCGTGACCCATGAGATCATGACCTGAGCTGAAACCAAGAGTTGATGCTTAACAGACAAGACATTAATGCTTAGCCACCCAGGTGCTGCACTTAAAATAATGTTTTTAAAGTTCATCTATGACATAGCATGTATAAGAACTGCATTCTTTTTAAAAGTTGAATAGTATTCTATTGTATGGATATATCACATTTTCTTATTCATCTGTTGATGGATGTTTAAGTTGTTTTCACTTTCACCAGTTTCCAATAATGCTGCGATTAACATTAATATACAAGTAATCTATTTGAGTTCCTTCTTTCAATTCTTTTGAGTACGTATCTAAAAACTGGAATTGCTGGATCATATGGTAATTTCATGTTTAACTTTTTTTTTAATTTTTTTTGTTTTATTTATTTATGATAGGCACACAGTGAGAGAGAAAGAGGCAGAGACACAGGCAGAGGGAGAAGCAGGCTCCATACACCGGGAGCCCGACGTGGGATTCGATCCCAGGTCTCCAGGATCCCTCCCTGGGCCAAAGGCAGGCGCCAAACCGCTGCGCCACCCAGGGATCCCCTCATGTTTAACTTTTTAAAGAACCAGCAAACGTTTTCAAGTGGTTGCACCATTTTACATTCCCAACAGCAATGTACAAGGGTTCCAGTTTCTCTGCATCCCTAATACTTGTTACTTTCCTTAAAAAAAAAAAAAAAAAGCCAGCTATCCTAGTTAGTGTGAAGTATCTTTTGTAGTTTAATTTGCTTCCCCAATGACTAGTGATGTTGAACATCTTTTAAGCTTGTAGGCTATTTGTATATCTTCTTTAAAGAGATATTTATTCAGGTATTTTGCTCGTTGGATTCTTTGTTGCTGTTGAGTTGTAGGTGTTCTTTATATATATTGAATATTAACGTTTTATCAGATACATGATTTGTAAATATTTTCTCCTATTTTATGAGTTGCCTTTTCATTTTGTAGATAATGTCCTTTGATTTTAAAAAGCTTTAATTTTGATTTAGTCACATTTATCTGCTTTTCCATCTGATGCTTTTGCTTTTGGTATCACATCCAAAAAAACCACTGCTAACTCCAATATCTTGAGGATTTTCCTCCCATATGCTTTCCTCTATGGGTTTTATAGTTTTAGCTCTTACATATAAGTCTTCGACCATTTTGATCTTTGTATTAACATTACAGTGTGATGTAGGAGTTCAACTTTATTCTTTTGCCTTTGAATATCAACTTGCCCAGGGCCATTTGTTGAAAAGACTACTTTTCCTCCATTGAATTGTGTTGACACCCCTGTCAAAAGTCAATAGTCCATAAATGTGAAAGTTTATTTCTCGATTCTTAGTTCTATCCATCCATCTATATGTCTATCCTTATGCCAGTACATGTCTTGATTAACATAGTTTGCCAGTAAGTTTTGAAATCAGAAAGTGTGAGGACTCTTTGTTCTTTTTGAAGATTGTTTTGGCTCTTCTGGGTTCCTTTCATTTCCATATGAATTTTAGCATCAGCTTGCCAATTTTTGTAAAGAAGTTACCTGGAATTTTGAAAGAGATTGATTGCATTGAATCCATTGATCAATGTGGAGAATATTGCCATCTTAGCAGTAAGCATTTTGATCCATGAAGATAAGCTATCTTTCCATTTATTTAGTGTTTTATTAATTTCTTTCAATAATGTTTTGTAGTTCTCAAAGCAGAAGTGTTGCACTTTAGTTTTTTCCAAAGTATTTTATTCTTTTTTATGGTTTTGTACATGAAATTGCTTTTTAATTTAATTTTGTTTGCTCATTGGTCCTTTTTAGAAATATGATTGATTTGTATATTGACTTTGTATCTTGCAGTGTTGCTGAACTCATCAGTCTTAATAGTTTCAGTGGATTCCTTATGATTTTCTGTATACAAGATCATATCATCTGCAAATAAAGATAATTTTACTTCTTTTCCAATCTGGATGCCTTTTGTTTTCTTGCCTAATTGCCCTGGCTAGAATGTCTGGTATAATGCTTACTGGAAATGGTGAGAACAGACATCCTTGTCTTATTCTTGATCTTAGGTGTAAAGCATTCAGTCTTTCACCACTAAGTATGATGTTAGTTTTAGGTTTTTA